GAGCCACAAGGTATAGATAGGGACTCTGGGGCAAGTGATGCTCTGTATTCTTGGGGCTTGGGGGGGCAGAAGTGATGTGGTAGCCTTTCACATTAATTTGTGAAATTAATTTGTGAAATCAAAAGAAGTTCCATAGGAAGATTAATTTGTTGTCGTACTGTTGGTTCCCTTGAACGTTTGTGATGGTACACCAATATCCTGTGTAGCTGTTCTTTTTTGGTAACTGGAGATTATGATTGAAGTTTACTGTATGTGAAGACGTCTTACCAAAGTATGAGTTTGTGCATATTACTATCTCATGCTGTGTCAATGTTAAATAAAAAGTAATACTGAAAACCAGAAGTTATTAAACTCTTAGTATTATTTGACAATTTGACAATTTATGCTCACATGCAAAGTGGGGATGACAGCTGTGTGATGAACCACATTCATTGTTCTGTCATCTTTGATGAAAGCAGTGTGCTTTTAAATGTCCATTGAAAGTTCTAGTCTATAAGGCTGGCTTTAATACTGAGCAGAAGAAGGGGATGTGCAGAAACCCCCAGTTCCCTTCTGGATTTGTTGTGGCAAACTGAAGCAAAACCCACTGATCTACCCCCAAAAAACCTGAAATAGAGTGAGAATTGACAATACCATCATACAACAGACATCCACCACTCTCCAATATTATATGCTTGTAAATTATATGAAACATACACTCAAATATGCAAGGGAAACTGAACTCAGTAACATGTAAGCTAGTGTGAAGTGTCTGGAATCCTGCAGTGAAAGAATCAAGAGAATATCTTGTTGAGTGCACGAGAAAATGCAATTTTAAACACTTGTGAAAGTACCTTGCAACTGCAGAGTTCAGGGAATGTTATGACTACATGTGGTGACGTCAGAGCCTGGTGTTCAGGCTTTCCAATATAGGGGGCAGTGGCACAGCCATAAAATGGCTACTGCAGGAGTCAGAGCCAGTCATGATATTTCTACTGCAGCTTTTCTTTGAGTCACAATGTGATGCGGCAACAAAAAAGGCTAATGCGATCTTGGAGTGTCTCAACAGAGGCATAACAGCCAAATCGCAAAATCTGATAGTTCCACTGTACACTGCATTGGTCAGGCCGCACTTGGGAGTATTGCATGCAGTTCTGGAGGCCTCACTTCAAAAAGGATGTGGGTGCAGAGGAGAGCGACGAGGATGATTGGAGGTCTGGAGACCAAGCCCTAGGAGGAAAGGCTGAGGGACCTGGGAATGTTTAGTCTGGAGAAGAGGAGGTTGAGGGGGACAGGATTGCTCTCTTGAAGTATTTGAAAGGATGTCACTTAGAGGAGGGCAGGGAACTGCTCCTATTGGCAGCAGAGGATAGGATTTGCAGTAATGGGTTTAAATTAAGGGTGGGAAGCTGGATATTAGAAAAACTTATTTACAGTAAAAGTTGCGCAACAGTGGAACCTGCCTCTTCGGGAGGCGGTGAGCTACCCCTCACTGGCAGTTCTTAAGCAGCGTCTGGACAAACACTTGTCAGGGATGCTCTAGGGCTGATCCTGCATTGAGCAGGGGGTTGGACTAGATGGCCTGTAGGACCCCTCCCAACTCTATGATTCTGGAATCTTTTCTATTGTGGCAGCTGCTGCCAAAGCAACATTTAAAAAAATCTGCACAGCCAACCAAATCTCCAATGGCCAACCAGAAGTCTTTCTGGGGAAAACCCCACTGGGCCCTGCCCACTTTTAAAAAGCGCCTGGCAGGCACATTGTGGACCCTTGCTTTAGAGTTTTGCCACGATGCCCAGGATCAGCAAGTGACTTCACATGAAGGAGGAGGAGGAGGAGATTGGATTGATACCCCGCCTTTCACTCGCCCTTGAGAGAACTTGTGACTGACCCAAGCTCATCCGGCTGGCTGCATGTAGAGGAGTGGGGAATCAAACCCAGTTCTCCCAGATTAGAGTCCGCGCTCTTAACCACTACATCAAACTTGCTCTCTAGTAAAGAGCTGGCACACAACAAGGAAGCCTGCTACCTTGCCATGTGCCCTCAGGAGTCCGAACTGTGGCTCAGAGGATCATCTTGTTTAAACTGTTCTGTCCTTTCGCTATAAGAACCAGCCCTTCGCAAATAACAGCCATTCTTTCTTTAACGTCAAAACACCTGGAAGATGTTCTATGCCAGCTGCTATCACACGGTCGAGCGCCTGTGATGCCGCCAGGTAGGTTAGCCGATAGTCACCTTGATATTAACGCAGCAGTAAGTGAAGCCTCTCTCCACCACGTGGATCCACACCAGTCTGTCCTGAAAGCGGCACAAGTAGTGGGACCCGGGCGAACAGGGGCCTTGGGAGAAGGAACAGAAATGGATTAAGGGTCGCTGGAGCATTTTGTCAAAGAACACCGTTGACGCTATGGACACAATCCTGACACCGCTTAATGAGAAATCTGGGAGTTCAGCTGCGCCAGGGTTGCCACTGCAAATTGGGTTGCCAATCTCCAGGTGGGGCCTGGAGACCTCCCACTGTTACAACTGGCCTCCAGGTAATAGAGATCAGTTCCCCTGGAGAAAATGGCTACTTTGGAGGGTGGAGTCTACAGCACTGTACCCTGCTGAGGCCCCTCCCCAAACCTCGCCTTTCCCAGGCTCCACCCCCCAAATCTCCAGGAGTTTCCCCACCCCATGCTGGCAACCCCATTTGCACTAGGAACACAGCCTACGGGAGGACAGAGAAGCTCAGGGCTACTCTTTATGGCTCAAGAAAACATAAAGTGAAACCGAAGGAGCACCAGGCCAAATTGGCAATTTCGAAAAGATACCTGGGAAGGCAGAAAGATATGTTTGTTACGTGTATGTGGACTTACTGCAAAGAAGATTGCTAGCTGGGGGAAAGGTGGTGATAAACATTTTCCATAAATGCTTTCAGAGCAACAGTACTATGAGATTCTGGAAAGACTTTCTGCTTAGGATTTCAAATGCGGGATTCTCTCCCCCCCCCCCCCCCCACATAAAGGCCTTATTCATGGTAAGAGAGAGAGAGCACTATTTCGGAACAGTGTCCATCACTGGGCAGGAAGATGTCAAAATGGATTAATAAAACCCCACCCCTTTCCTGGCCGCAGGGCACAGTTCCTGCATTCAGGGCAATTGCCAAGAAGGGAGAATTTTGGGTGGTGCCACTTCTCCCATCACCTCAGATTCAGGATAGGGAAAAGCTGCAGCCTGCTGAAATTCTCTTCCAAATAGCTAAGCTGTTCAGAATACAAGATTCCTGTTAGCGAACTGTATGTGTTTTCAGGGTACTCCGGGCAGGCGGGGTTTCAGGGTGGTTGGACACTAAGCAGACCCAAACCATATAGCTTCAGCAAGATAGGTGCACAGTGTAACCTCCATACCATTTTACCAGTCTAGCAAATCTTAATGTTTCCTTTCCTTTTTTTAAAAAAAAAAATATTTTTTATTAAATTTTGAACAATAAACAAAATAAAAATAACACATAAACACTAAACATATTCAACTGGAATATTCAAATCAAGTGATTAACTACAGACTGTAAGTATTGAATAGTCCTGTTCCAGATCGAGGGTTTCCTAAGAGTCTTTTACATTAGGTTACATTAGGTACATTGCCAGACCGCTGGGAACGTCCCGGATCAATCCTCATAGCAAGGTAAGTATTTCTTTGTATTTTGATGGAATAAAGCTTATTGGTGCAGTTGTTTTGTTTTTCACATAATCCAAAAAAGGGGACCATTTAGCAAACAAGCATGGATGGCTTCAAAAGGGAATTAGATAAGCATATGGAGCAGAGGTCCATCAGTGGCTATTAGCCACAAGGGATAGATAGGGACTCTGGGGCAAGTGATGCTCTATCATCTTGGTACTTGGGGGGGTCAACAGCGGGAGGGCTTCTAATGTCCTGGCCCCACTGGTGGACCTCCTGATGGCACCTGGTATTTCTGGCCACTGTGTGACACAGAGTGTTGGACTGGATGGGACTTTGGCCTGATTCAACATTGGCATCTCTTATGTTCTTTAAAATATTTGACATAAATTGTTGTTCTTCCGTCCTCTTTATGGAGTCAAATATTTTGTCCATTGCCAGTAGTTCCCATAACTTGGTGAACCATCGAACACTAGAAATAGAAGTAGAGTCCTTCCAGCTTGCTGGAATTATAATCTTAGCTGCTGTTAATAAAGTAGATATAAGATCTTGGTACATTTTAGGGACAGCATTATCTTTCCATAAATCTAATAAAACCGATTCTGGGGTTTTAATAACTTCATGTTTTCTTTCCTGATGCACTGGAGGGGTATATATGAGGTATGTCAGTGAATACCGGCAGGAAATCTCCAGTCGTACCCAAATGATCTCACTTGGCACAGTTAAACCGTAGCACTTCGGGACAATGTAAAGCGCGATCTGGAAAACCAGCCATTATATTAGTTAAAAATTAAAACGGCCCTTTCTACCCTGCTGAGCTAATGGGAGTACATTCTCCTGCTGCCGTTTTTGTAAAAAATAAAATAATAATTCATAATTCGTCATTGTGCTTAGCTGCCCAAAAAATACACCTTGATCTTAAGACCTAAAGCAATATCCCTGTTAAGACATGTTTAGTCAAGCCGTCTGCCATTAAAGGCCAGGTAAATTTTTTCTGGAAATTAATTTTTAAAACCCACCTGGATCCCCAAAGCATACTTGCCCTAGCGCTGAACTTTCAAATCAGTGAGCAGAAGATGTCTCCCAGCTGTTCTTCTCTTCTTTGCCTGGAACTTTCCCAAAACATTTCTCCCTAGTTCCCACCAATGCTGCCTCTAAGCTGTGGAGTCTTGTGAGCAAAAATTCTTTGTGAGCGACTGGCATTAAAGTTGTGAGGGAGCGTTTCAGCTGCTGCGTAAATGAGTTAGCGCTGAAACCCTCCTTCCTGAGCTGAGACAAAAACATGTGAGGCTAGGAAACTGTGAGCTAGCTCACACTAACTCGGCTTAGAGGGAACCTTCCCCACCATCATTGGCATTAGTATGGAAGCCATCTCGGCAAAAAATTGGTAATCTCTTACCCTTTACAGGCTTATTCCAGATATCTGTTAACACCAGAATAAGACCGAAGTAGAAACAAAAAACTGTGCAGGAGTTCGCGCTAATAAATTTGAAATATGAATCAAAAAGATTTCATACAAAAGAGTGCACAATATTTGTATAACATATCAAATACAAGTGAAGACGGTGATCTCCGGAATGTTCAGCCGTTTCGACACAAGTCTTCTTCTGAACAATGATGTATACCTAATACATTATAGAAACAGTTTGTAGAAAAGCCTTTCCATGGGCGAATGAAGTTGAATTGCCTTGGAAAGGCTTTTCTAGAAACTGTTTCTACAATGTATTAGATATACATCATTGTTCAGAAGAATATTGACCACTGAGGAAGGCCCGTATGGTCCTTAGGTCAAAATGTTTTACCCATCAATTGTATTTGTATGATAACTAACTCGGTTGTATAAGCCTTTTAAGTCTGAGACTTAGACTAATTCTTTTTACTGCAGTATGTTTTAGCATACTGCAGTATGTTTACACCCTAATAAACATTTGTGTTTTTTTTATATAATATATTTGTTAGCTTGACCCTCTTCGTTCGCAGCTGATTTTGGTCCCCCCCCCCCCGCCTTTCTCCCCAGTTTCTAACATTCCTTACACAACCAGGCCGCAATGCAACATATTAAAAAGGAAAGATCTAAAAGTGTCGTATATCACTAAAAGAGCTGTTTTGACATTATCCACGAAGACAGGCTTTTAAAGTCGACTTACCTAGGCTGCCGGACGAGAAGGCGGCTTGCAAAGCCATAGCCAAGCTGGGAACCATCTGCTGATAATAGACAGTGTCATGACACAGGTAGGCGGTCTCACCCACTGGTCCCGGCCAGCTCCGGCCAGGCCTCGGGAAGCCAATCAGAAACACGGGGAGGCTGAAAAGGGGCAGCAAGGGGGAAGACAGCAGCGCACAGAGCAGCATGAGGCTCAGGAGGACCGGGAAGAAGACAACGTTGAGGATAATCAGGGGTGCGGAGGATGTCCGGCGCTGCTTTTTCTCTGCCCACGACGTCCAGAGAACGGTTATTGCAAACTGCATCTTTGAGATGAACTGAAACAGTCGGTTCCGGATGAAGCCAACCTAGCGGGACAGAAATGACAGTTTTGTGTGTGTGTGTGTGTTTTGAAATTCATAGCCCACCTTTCATGCTGAGGCTCGAGGGGACTGCAGGATATCGAACACTGCAAAAACCAGGCCACAAAAGACAGCCCAGTGAACAATGCAATAGGACTAGGGTCCCAGAATGAAGGAGTGTTTAGAAGAAGAAGGAGGAGATTGGATTTATACCCCGCCCTTCATCTCCTTTCCCCTCCCCTCCCCACAACAGACTCCCTGTGAGGTAGGTGGGGCTGAGAGAGCTCTCTCAAGGGCTGCCCTTGAGAGAACAGCTCTGAGGGAACTTGTGACTGACCCAAGGTCACACCAGCAGCTGCAAGTGGAGGAGTGGGGAATCAAACCCGGTTCTCCCAGATTAGAGTCCACCGCACTTAACCACTACACCAAACTGGCTTTCTGTTTTTTTAACTCTGCTTTGCTACCTGAAACCTCTTGCAATGTATATACAGAAGGGTATCGCGCTTATGTTTTATTTATTTAAAGCATTTTTATTATGCTGCCTTTCCACCCGATCAGGGTCCCCGATGCGGGAAACGCAAAACACCTGGACAATTAAAAGCAACATTTAAAATGATCAAATAATTTAACAAAACACAATGTAAAACGATAAAAAAAAGAGTCTTCACCCATTGGCAGAAGACACTGATAGAGAGGGATGGACTAATCTCCCTGGGGAGCGAGTTTCAAAGTTTTGGTGCCACAACCAAGAAGGCCCTTTTTACGGTTGCCACTCATCTAGTTTCAGAAGGCAGGAGCAACCGAAGCTGGGCCTCCAAAGATGACCAGAGTACTGGGCACAGTCACAGAATCATAGAGTTGGAAGGGGCCTCCAGGGTCATCTAGTCCAACCCCAAGTCATATGGGAAAAGGTGGTGCCTGAAAGGTATGTTGGTCCCAGATCATACAGGGCTTTAAAGGTCAATATCCCAACCTTCTAACACTAAATATAAAGAATATGGATCAAAATTTGGAGAAACAAGAAAGGAGGCAAGGGGAAAACGCATGCTTTGTATATATGTTCTGTCCAACGGGGACAGCCGAACTGATTTACCAGTAAGAGTCTGGTTCCCGTATTGAGGCTTCTGTTCCACCAAAGGTCGGTATTGAACAACAGCAGCTGTATCGCGAACACCACCACCACATCTAAGAGGGCACTCTCCGTATTTTGCCATACCTAGAACAGAGGTTTGGTTTGGTTTAAATCCCACAGGAGCCTTAACTAATTTTTTTTTTAAGTTGACAGCACAACATATTTTGCAGTGGCCTTCCACGGCAGTTTGGCTAAAACGGCTTTCAGAATTTCAATCGCTCCAAAAAACTCCCTTCCCGGGACTCCAGTGTAACGGACAGATTAAAGGTTCCACCTCTCCCTAACAGCAACCAATGAGAGCTGACAACGCGTTGGGAGAAACAGCGCGTTGGAAAATGACAGTTGAGAAAGCCATTGCGGAGTCACACACACTAAATAACACACTTTTAATCCAGTTTCAGTGCAACTGGGTTTTACTGTGTGAAATGGCAAAAGCCACTTGCAAAACGGTCGCTGAAGTGGACTGAAACTACATTATTTAGCACGTGTGAAAGCTACCTATGTTTGACTGAGTGAAGCCGAGGAGAAGATCAGCTTACAGCTAAAGGGAAAGAAAAGTCACTTTGTCACCAAAGATCCCAAATGTGGAATAGGGAAACAGTCCAAAAGTTCAAGGGAACAGAAACATTGTAACCTCTGCCTTACTTTTTTAAGCGTTGCATTCAAACCATAAATACAAGTTAACTCCTTGTTTATTTAACCCTGTGGGCTGTGCGTCTCAGGGAAAGACACACCCACACATACAGACACGAATGAAGATCTTGATCTATATATGTTTTAGGATATGAATAAAAGGTGGCAGCGTGTGACTGAAACAGTGTATGAGCCCTAACCCTAATAACGCAGTGAAGTGGAACAAAGTTCGAGTCCGGCGGCACCTTTAAGACCAACAAAACTTTATTCAAGGTATAAACTTCGGTGTGCACGCACACTTCTTCAGATACAAATATACGAAGAAGTGCGCTTGCACACGAAAGCTTATACCTTGAATAAAACTTTGTTGGTCTTAAAGGTGCCCCACTGGACTCCGACTTTGTTCTGCTGCTTCAGACCAACGTGGCTACCCCACCTGAACTGAACTCAGTGAAGTGTCTGAGTGAGGGCCTCTTAGTGTCTGAGTGAGGGCCTCTTAGTGTCTGAGTAAGGGCCTCTTAGTAAGGGGGAATGGGCTATTCTGTCTACTGATGTCTCTGTGAGTGAGAGAGAGGGCCTGAGGTGTGAAATGGTCATAGCTCTCTAGAGATTTCTAAAAAGAGAAAGGAAACAAATGTGATGGCCTGGCCTTCTTGTACCCCTGAACCTGAGAGAGATGTAGAGGGTAGTGGGCACTTTGTATGAGCGGAACGTATCACAGAAAACAACATGTCATATGAGCAGCTCATCTCGCCTGGTACTGGGAACCTCGTTAATGGCAAACGATGATACAGCACTCCCAAGTGGTTAAACATTTCAGATGCGTTATTTCTGAATTCTATACTGCAAGCCTGATAAGATTAGTGTGCGACTTATGGGGGACCAGGGTTGAGGATGGCAACTTGTCTACAGCCTCCAAACGATAGACAGTAACTCTTCCATGGAGATAGATCAAGATGGGTAGCCCTGTTAGTATGTCTGTAGCAGTAGAAAGTAGAAGTAGAGCTGCAGTGGCTCAAGTGGTTAAGACGCTGAACTGCAGGCTGTGGAAGGTTGGTAGTTCAGCAATTCGAGACCCGGGTGCTGCATGACGGAGTGAGCTCCCGTCTCTGGCCCCGGCTCCTGCCAACCTAGCAGTTCGAAAGCAAGAAATTCCAAGTAGATAAATAGGTACCGCATCGGTGGGAAGGTAGCAGCGTTCCATGCACCTCGGCGTCCAGTCATGCCGGCCACATGACCACGGAAACGTCTTTGGACAGCGCTTGGAAACGGAGATGAGCACCGCAACTCTAGAGTCGGATTCGACTGGCTTTCGAGCAAGGGAACCTTTACCTTTTAGCAGTAGAAAAGAGCAAGAGTCCAGAAGCACCTTAAAGACTAACAAAATATGTGGCACAGTAGGAGTTTTTGTGAGTCATGGCCAATGCGCCCTCTAAGCTGTGGAGTTCTGTGAGCAAAAATTCCACTTTGTGAGCTACTGGCATTAAAGTTGTGAGCGAGTGATTTGGCTGCTGCATAAATTGGTTTGCTCTGGAGCCATCCTTCCTGAGCTAGGACAAAAATGCGTGAGCTGGAGGCTAAAAAACTGTGAGCTAGCTCAGACTAACTCAGCTTAGAGGGAACACTGGTCATGGCTCAGTTCGATGGAGATAGATCAAGTTGGATAGCTATGTTAGTCTGTCTGTAGCAGTAGGAAGTCTAGTAGCACCTTAAAAACTAACAAATATTTGTGGCAGAGCATGTGCTTTTGTGAGTCACTGCTAGATAGCCGTATCTGAAGAAGTGAGCAGTGACTCATGCAAGTTCCTACACTGCCACAAATTTTGTTAGTCTTTCAGGTGCTCCTGGACTCTTGCTCTTTTCTACAGTAACTCTTCTGTATCTCAGGCAAAGGTTAATCCTTTGGCACCAGGATTTTAGGCCACGGGGCCTTGACCTTACAAGCCACAACTACTGAGTTATAGTCATCCTTTAGCATACTGAACATACACTTTGCGACACGGAACTTCTCTGGAAGGTGTGCTCTTTCCCACATGGTTTCATACCACTTTTGTACAATACTTGGAAATTACCATCCTAAAGCTTCTTGTGAATCCAATGGAAATATACACGGACGGCAGACGATGCAGAGAATTGTCCAGGGAAAGAAATGCGATCATAGCAAATGGTGACACTGAAATTAAAAGAGAGGGGAAAGGAGATGGAAACATTTATCTTATACAAAGAGCTCAATAATAAGTATATATTCAAGCTCCAGTCCTATAACTAGCCTGATACAGGGTCAAGCTTCAGAGACTCTCTTCTCATAACATACAACTGATAAAGTACAAGCAGTTTGGTGTAGTGGTCAGGAGCGCGGACTCTACTCTGGGCGAACCGGGTTTGATTCCCCACTCACTCCTCCATATGCAGCTGCTGGTGTGACCTTGGGTCAGCCCCAAGTTCTTTCAGAGCTGTTCTCTCAAGGGCAGTTCTCTCAGTGCTCTCTCGGCCCCACCTGTCTCACAGGGTGTCTGTTGTGGGGAGGGGGAGGGGGAGGGAAAGGAGATTGTAAGCCGCTCTGAGACTCCTTCAGGTAGTGAAGGCCGGGGTATAAATCTTCTTCTCTCTGTTCTGTTATCTGACTGGGATTTTGGGGGTAGGGAGAGAGGGGAGAGAGCAACGTGTGTCTTGCAAGGCAGAGGATATTCCACCCAGCCAAATACTCATTGGATGACAGGAACCAGTAAATGTTTATGCACCATGTTAGCAAGTTTACAGAACAAGTACTGTGGGTTGAATTGGCACAAGACAGCATATAAATTATGCTCTTAAATTCTTTGCACGGTGAATATAAGAGTCTCAAAGGGGCATATGATTATCTGCAAGCTTCTTCTTCTTTTTTAAAGGACAGGATGCTCTGAGGAGTCCCAGGGACAAACAATACAGGAACGCAGTACCCAAGCATAGCCAGTGCGACGTAGTGGATAGAGTGGTGGACTAGGATCCTGGGGAGGAAGAGGAAGGAGGAGATTGGATTTATGCCCCGCCCTTCACTACCCAAGGGGGGGGTCTCAGAGCGGCTCACAAACTCCTTTCCCTTCCCCTCCCCACAACAGGTGGGGCTGAGAGAGCTCTTTCGAGGACTGCTCGTGAGAGAACAGCTCTGAATGAACTTGTAACTGACCCAAGGTCACACCAGCAGCTGCATGTGGAGCAGTGGGGAGGTGGAGAATCACAAAATGGCCACCACAGGAGGTGGGACCAACCACAAAAGGTCAGGGATCGAGGTTAAACACAACTCTAGTAAGTAACTCTCCAAACATTTCAGGCAGAAGCTCTGTTTAATAGGATGCCTTTTACTCTACACAGCCAATTAGAAGCCCTCCCTGGGCACAAGCCCCACCCACTTTCTAAAAGCACTTGCCTGGCACCAGGAAAGGTCAGAGGGTGCCATGGCGCCCACGGGCACTATGTTGGGGACCCCAACTTAAGAGTAATTTGGTCTATAATAACCAGGGGTCATTTCGTAGAAAAAGAGGTGCAGGAGCTCATTAGCATAACTCATTTGCATATGCCACACCCCCTGACATCACCGGAAGTGTGTCCAAAGGCAACACTCACCGCTCAGGCTCCATTGGACTGTTTTGGATTGCTAGCTATTGGGGGGGGGACGTGCAGATCTGTCCTTGCAGGGGAGGGAGAGCTTGTACCTGAATAAAACTTGGTCTTAAAGGTGCCACTGGACTGTTTTGGACTGGGGGGCCGGGGGGGGGGCTCTGCAGCTTACCTGGCTACTTCTTGCTCTGACTGAGGGCTGCTGGGAGCAGGGGGTGGGGCTTGTTGCATGTGCCCACCCCCTGGGCTCTTTACTGCCGGAGCTCCGCTCCTGTGCGCTCCTGCAGGAAATGACCCCTGAATAACTATTCTGTCCTTGTGGAATACGATGTGATCACTGCCCACAGCGTGACTAGATCTCCATGTCCACATGGTATTTGCAACACAGATTTTAGAACCCACACAGGCAGGGTTATCAGGACTTGCTCCAAATAATCGGCAGACACATAATACAGAAGGCCGTCTTACCCACAGTAGTTAAAAACCTCCGGAAAGCGCCGATTCTCGAAAGCCCTTTTCGCTTCCCCACGAAACCATTCGCGACTGTGACATCCTTTGGGTAAAAGGGGTTCCGGAGGATTCCGAACACGTACACTGTTTGAACCTCTCCGAGGATCCACGTAACCAGGAGCAGCGCCATCGATATGTAGCCCATAACCGCTTGGAGGCTGGTTCTAGAGAACGCCCGAGAACCCAGCTCATAGTGCAGAAGGCCGGCTTCCGCGAGAGCCAAAGCGAAGACGGTCAAATAGAAAACTGTTGCCCTCCACTGAATCCGACAGGCAGTCACGTCCTGAAATCTCTGAACAGCTGAACAGCTGACCGGGACAAGCTTGAGGGCAAACCAAATCTTACTGAGGTCCAGACTCAGAGCAAATCCAAACCCAGTCATGAAGACGACTACGCCGACAGAGCTGGGGATGAAATACGATGCAATGGCGGCTGCCGCAGAGACGAGAACCATTCCTAGCAGCCTGAAAGGGGTGGGGGGGGAGAGGAAAAGAGAGAGAGAAAGACAAGGAAGAATAAAGGGAATTGCCCGGAGAAAACGAAGTTATATGCAGCGGCTTAGGTCTATTTCACCCCATTCCCTCCCACCACAAGCAAGCCAGAGTGTCAGCATCTCTATCTGTGGAGAGTTTCACCAACGCCTCCCGATCTTGGCAAGACGGTTTCCCTACTACCTATGTTATAACATCATGGCCTTCTGGGGGTACGACACAAGCTTCAGAGGTCTTCACTACTGTGACAGGCACCATGCCCAAGATCTTCCAAAGGTGTCTGATCATAGGCTCACAGAATCATAGCATCGCAGAGCTGGAAGGGGCGCTACAGGCCATCTGGTCCAGCCCCCTGCTCAACGCAGGATCAGCCTAGAGCAGGTATGTCCAACAGGTAGATCGCGATCTACCAGTAGATCGCGGAGGGGTCAGAGGTAGATCACCAGCCCCACTTGGTCTCCTGGTATAAAATAAAATTTAAAAATGTTTGCAGTTCTTTCTGGATCTTCGTCTCTGTTTTGTTTTCGCTTATTTTGCTTACCAGTAAATGACAGAAGGTGCATTATAAATGCGGGGGGTGGGGGCGTGGTGGAACACAACTTTAGTGGGTTAAATTCTAATTTGAAACTAATTTGAAACTTCATTTTCATGGTGGTAGATCACCGGCACTTTTGGCCGGAAAAAATAGATCACTACCTGTTCGAAGTTGGACATGCCTGGCCTAGAGCGCCCCTGTAAAGTGTTTGTCCAGCTGCTGCTTAAAGACTGCCTGGGAGGGGGAGCTCACCACCTCCCGAGGCAGCTGATTCCACTGTGGCACAACTCTGTCAAAAAGCTTTTCCCAAATATCCCACCAGTACCTTCCCACCCTTAATTTAAACCCATGATTGTGAGTCCTCTCCTCTGCGGCCAACGGGAACAGCTCCTTGCCCTCCCCTAAGGGACAACCCTTCAAAGACTTCAAGAGAGCCATCCTGCCTTCCCCTCAACCTCCTCTTCTCCAGGCTAAACATTCCCAAGTCCCTCAGCCTTTCCTCACAGGGCTGGGTCTCCAGGCCCCCCCCAATCATCCTCATCGCCCTCCTGACTAAACTGTGGAATTCACTGCCAAAGAATGTTGTGACGGCCACAGGCAAAGACAGCTTGAAAAGGGGATTAGATAGATTTGTGGAGGATAAATCTATCAATGGCTACTAGCCATGGTGACTGAGGGGAACCTCCACATGCAGAGGTGCTAATCCTCTGAATCCCAGAGCCAGAAGGCAGCATCAGGGGGAGGCCTCGGCCTCTGTGCCCTGTTGTTGGCCCTCCAGAGGAACTGGTTGGCCCCTGTGTGAGACGGGATGCTGGACTGGATGGGCCACTGGTCTGATCCAGCAGGGCTCTTCTGGTGTTCTAATGAAGGCCTCGGCCTCTCTGCCCTGTTGCTGGACCCACAGAGGAACTGGCTGGCCACTGTGTGAGACGGGATGCTGGACTGGGTGGACGACTGGTCTGATCCAGCAGGGCTCTTCTGATGTTCTAATGAAGGCCTCAGCCTCTCTGCCCTGTTGTTGGCCCTCCAGAGGAACTGGCTGGCCACTGTGTGAGATAGGAGGCTGGACTAGAGGGACCACTGGTCTGATCCAGCAGGGCTCTTCTGGTGTTCTAATGAAGGCCTCGGCCTCTCTCTGCCCTGTTGTTGGCCCTCCAGAGGAACTGGTTGGCCACTGTGTAAGACAGGATGCTGGACTGGATGGGCCACTGGTCTGATCCAGCAGGGCTCTCGTTATGTTTTTAATGAAGCTTTGCAAACCATCTGGAGAGCGACAAAAAACGGTAGGCCCGCATGCAGCTCCAAGGCTACAAGCTATAAGAAGTTACCTAATGTCACTGGCCATGGGTGAACCTCCAAGACCAAACTCCAAGAGCTGCTCCATTCCCCAGAGGAAAAGTGCGTCCAGAGGTGGCAGAACCCCCAGCATCCAGAAGACAGGCAAAACCAAAAACACCACATGCAAAATCTGGTTCACCAGCTTTAAACCAGGTACGTCAACAGTGAACCTGGATGGAAACAGAGAAAGGTATCATTTCTATGCCCAAAGGAAGGGCTTTCTATGTTCAAACGCCTCTTTGCCCCGCCATCCAGTTTTACAGGGATCATTTCAATTTTCTTGACGAAACACAAGTGTGAGAACGATCAAAGATAATGAGAACTGAGCTGAAAAGAGTGGGAATTCCTTATACAATCCTTGTCTTTATTGAGTCCTATTATTACTTCATGGGGGTGCGGTGGCTCAGAGGTTAAGACGCTGAACTGCAGACCGGAAGGTCGGTAGTTCAGCAATTCGAGACACGAGTGCCACATGACGGAGTGAGCTCCCGTCTCTGGCCCCGGCTCCTGCCAACCTAGCAGTTCGAAAGCAAGAAGTTGCAAGTAGATAAATAGGTACCACTTCAGTGGGAAGGCAGCAGCGTTCCGTGCACCTCGGCGTCCAGTCATGCCGGCCACATGACCACGGAAAACGTCTTCGGACAGCGCTGGCTCTTCGGCTTGGAAACGGAGATGAGCACCGCACCCCTAGAGTCGGATTCGACTGGCTTTCGAGCAAAGGGAAACCTTTACATTTATTATTACTTATTGTCAGCTGGTCTCACCGACCAATCAAGTGTTAAATCGCTCAGTTTATGGTCGGTGGTGGAAAGTGCCGTGAAGTCACAGCTGATTTACGGTGACCCGGTGGGAGTTTCAAGGCAAGAGATGTTCGGAGATGGTCGGCCACTGCCTGCCCCTGTATCTCAACCCTGGGCTTCCTTGGTGGTCTCCCATCCAAGTTCTAACCAGGGCCGACCCTGCTTAGCTTCCGGGATCCAATGAGGTTGGGCTAGCCTGGGCCGTCCAGGTCAGGGCCAGTTCAGGGATAATTATTATGATATTACATATTATCAGGGGTCATTTAGTAGAAAAAGAGGTGCAGGAGCGTATTAGCATAACTCATTTGCATATGCCACACCCCCTGACATCACCGGAAGTGTGTCCGAAGGCAACACCCACCGCTCAGGCTCCACTGGACTGTTTTGGATTGCTAGCTATGGGGAGGGATGCGCAGATGTGCCCTAGCAGAGGAGGGAGAGCTTGTACCTGAATAAACCTTGGCCTTAAAGGTGCCACTGGACTGTTTTGGATTGCTAGCTGGGGGGGGGGTGCAGATCTGTGCAGGAAGGAAGGAAGGAAGGAGGGAAAGAAAGAGAAGGAAAGAAAGAGAAGGAAAGAAGGAGGGA